TGGCTTTGTGAACTATTCAACTATGGGAAATAGTGAGAGATTTGAGACAGGGTGTCGTGTAACTAAGGCAGGCTTTAAACTCCTGATCCTTCACCCTTCCCCTCCCAAGTGCTAGAATTACAGCAATTTGCTACCAGGGCCAGGTTTCAATTAAGTTTCAAATCATCATTTGGTTTTAAAGGTTTATTTTCATTATTTTAAATTATGTGTCTGTATGTGTGTCTGAGTATATAAAGGTGCCCATGGAGGCCAGAGGGGTAGGATCTCTCTGGAGATACAGGTAGTTGTGGGTCACTCAATATACATACTGGGATCTTAACTCAAGGCCCTCTGAAAGATCAGTAAGTGCTGTGAACAACTAAGCCATCTCTCTAGCCCCCCACTTTCTGGTTTCAAAATGTTTGTGTATTAAAACTGAATTACATAACATCAAAATTTTCCTTATCTTAGAAAACGTGTAACCACATGGTAAATGTATGTACAATGGAAGACCACTTCTCTCCCCTCACAACTTGGGAAATATTTGTGTGAGCACACACAAGAGGTGAGGGTTGTGGGGGAGGAAGAGAGACAGAGAGACTGACTTTAAGTATGGATCTCTCTAATTAAATATCCAACGAATAAATCCATTATGTGTAACAATAGATTTATGTACTTGATATTTGTCTAAAACAAATCACACTTAGGCTTCAAAAACAGTTTCTAATAGCACTATGCCGTGACCATATATACTCCCTCACTATCTTCATGAGTTTGTTCTAGGCCTTTCTTCAGATCCCCAAATCCCTCAAATACATGGTGTGTATAATCTACACAGATCCTCCTGTGCAGGGGATACTGAACCCACCCAGATCCTTGTGCATGCTAGACAAATGTTCTAAGCACTGATCTATACTGCCAGCTCCTCACATTACTTTAAGACATATAACATGTACATTGTATAAACAGTTGTTACATTGTTTGGGAAAAAATGATAAGGAACTTGTGCACACTCGTTACAGGTGAACTTTCATGTATTATTTCCTGAATATTTCCATCTAAGGATGGATGAATTTTAATTTTGGAACACACGAACAGAAGAGGGCCAACTGTATTTAAAAGCCAAAATATTATTCACTCTAAAATCCACAAAGACACAGCAACCCTCTGAAAGAGAAAACAACCCACTATCTAAAACTATGTGGAATAGGAATAGTATGTGTGCATATTTCTGAGATACCACAGAGGGGGCTCTGACATAGCAAATACATGCAATCCATATGGTAACTTGAGTCCCCATTAATCTTTCATATAGCTGTGTTTTAGTAATGTTTTCTTATCACCTAACTGAAGAGAAACTAAAACTAAACTTTTTTTTTTTTTTTTTTTTTTTTTTTTTTTTGTGTTGGCAGTAACATATTTATCTGCATTGCAGAAAAAAAAAAGCAAAGGCAGAGCACACATGTAACCAAGGCATTTCCTTCACTTTCATCTGTCAGCCGTTCTACTGTTGTCCAAGCTAACCACACCTTCCTAACAATCTTTACAACTGTATGGCAGTCACAGGTAAGATCCTTTTCATAGTGAAAGCATCCAGTTTTTACAAATAACACCTCAGAGATTAATTACCTTTTTCTTTTCCTGATTCTACATACAAGCAATAATTGTAAGACAGGAAACATAAGACTATTGAAGCTTTGAGTTGAAAGATTTTCCCATTACTTTAAGAGCAGTATGTCAATTTTAAAAGGAAGCTAGAATGTGATATGATGAAGCAAAATAAGAGAGTAAATGTTTAAGCAAATACTAGAAGATGCCATGAGTATTTTATGACAAATGTCCTTTACTTGAACATTCATAATGAATCATAAGCACGTAATAAAATGGGCTGAAGTTGCCTATAACACTACAAAGTCAGCCATGCCACTCATGATTTTAAAACCTAACTATTCTAACTTTTCTTTTGGAAATATATGAAATTATGATGAATCAAGGTTTTCTTAGGAACAATTACATGATGGTCCATAGTAAGTAGGAGAGAATTCCTCTCTGATAGAAATTCCATCCATTACATTTACTTATTTATTTATTGGGTGTCTATGAGTGTGTATGTGAGGGGTATGCATGTGTGAAGATCAGAGGACAACTTGTGGGGGTTGGTTTTCTCTTTCCTCCATGTGGGTCCCAGGGATCAAATTCAGGCGATCAGGCTTGGGGGCAGTACCCTTACCCAGCTAAGCCATTATGATTTTTTTAAATGAGCAACAAACTTTAGAACACAAGATTAATCCTTGATATAAACATTTTTTTTTTTTTTTTAAAGACGGGTTTCTCTGTGTAGCCCTGGCTGTCCTAGAATTCACAGAGAACCACCTGCCTCTGCCTCCTAAATGCTGGGATTAAAGGCTCGCACCACCACCGCCTGGCTGACATAAACAATTTTTGACTGAACTATACAATGTCAATGAAGTTAATTGAACTGTGTTTGGTATTTACTGCCTTCATACTCATCTTTTTTTTTCCTTCTAAATGAAAACATTCATTCCCCACAGATAGTTTATAAACAGCATAGACAAATTCAGGTAGTCCAGCTTTAGCCAAACCCTACATATTCTGAAGTCTTCTAGCTGGGAAATTACCTTTGAGCCACTGGAGAGTTTGCCTGATACTGGTACCACTCTACCCTTGGGGGCTTTGGTTATGGCACATTAAGTTTATACTTTCAATATGATTCCTGATGAGCACCTGTTTTTTATATGCCCAGGGCTTTGTGTTATATTGTATTGTTTGACCCACTAGCATGGAAGGGAAAGATGGCTGGAGATGAAGGTCAAGTACATGGGTAGCTCCCATACTATGTAATTGACCCACAATATAGTCTCTGAACAGCAAGGCTCAAAAGAGCTTCCCCTGTTGCTATGACTTGCCCATGTTGTTATACACTGTAGCTGGGACAACAAAACCGAGTGCTTTACCATTCTACTAAAAGAGCACAATTGGAACCCCATACCCTCCCAATGAGCTTTCTCCCATGATAATTTTGTGTCTTTTGCTATAATAAATTGTAATCATGAGAATAACAGCTTTCCTGAGTTCTCTAAGTTGTTCCAGGAAGTCCACTAATCCTGAGGCTAGTCTTGGGAACCTCTGATACAAGCTATAATAAATTATGTACCTAAAAGAACATTTTTCCTGATACAAAAGTTTGGTTTAAAAACTTCATTTCCAAAGAGGCAGGAATAGTACTTCAGACTGACAACACCAACTACAAGGTTAAAGAAGGCAGCTCCTGGCCAAGTGTAAGAGGACACTTCTGCAGAGAATGGAAGAAGTGCTGCTCATTCCCAAGGCACCTTCCCTTTCTACAAGCAATCTTCATGAAGCTATGAAACACAGTTAATGTCTCTGCCTGAGAAGGAAACTGAAGTGAGAAAGTACTTTTCCAACTCTTCTTCTTTCAGACACTTGGGTAATTTTTCTCCCTCCCTCCTTCCCCACTCCATTCACCCAGCATCGACCCAAGACATGGGTCTTAGGGTGGCTTTGAATTCACAATGGTCCAGGCTGACCATAAAATCAATATGTGTGTTATCACATTGGGCCAATTTTATACATGTGAGAATGATCTGGCTTGGCTCAAATATATCAGGTACGCAGACTCTCTTACCAACCAACAGTTGGACAAGAGACAAAAGTCAAGTCCTTTTTTTTTGGAATGTGCACTGCTGGGGCGCCTCAAGTGCACCAAGTTGTACTGCAAGAAAGGATCAATTGCATAAATGATTCATGGATTAAAATGTTGCCTGGGATGACAGCACTTAAGAGCTTCGTTTATCAGACTGAAACACCCCAGCCATGTGGCTCACTGTCACTGCAATCACCTTATAAGGTTCCCCATTCCTAAGCCCACTGGGCTGTTCTCTTCCCCTTTGGGAGCACTTCATTGTTCCCAGTTACGGTTGTCTGGGATGGGATTACCAGCTACTGCTACCAGGTAAGAAAGAGGAAAGATTTTCTTTTGTTTCAGTGCTGAATCAGAGAAGCAACAGATAATTGGCTTTCACTCCAAGTAACAGGCCTAAGTATCCATAAAAACCCTCATTCAAATAGACCACACAATCAGGACTTCACCCAACTTAATGTGATGCTTCACTAGGTTACCTGCAAATGCCAACTGCTGACACCCAGCCTACCACCATCAGATGGCCTTGTCTATATCTCACTTTTCTTCATGCAGTCTCAGAAACTGTTACACGTATTATTTTACTGTTCATTATTACGCTGGCTACCTAACAAACAATCTTTAGGCAGCATTAGTAAAAATGGGAGAGAGTCATATAGGCAGGAACTAAGAACACGGCACTTTCAAGCCAGACTGAACTAAACATTAATCCTAATACTTTCTAGTTCTGTGGTCTCTGCCAAGTTTCTTACCTTTTGTGCCCCGATTTACTCATTTGTAAAATGAGAATACAGCACCCCACACAGTAGCTTGTTATAAGAATTAAATAAATATGTATGAAGAACTTAGTGTGTTTGGCGTCTAGACAGTAGTAATAGCCGCCACCACCATTACCTCCTCCATCTCATCACCACCGCCATTTTGTTCATGGAACATAACATTAATTTCCCGGCACCGTTAAGTGTTAAAAGCAAGCACAATACTATCCTCTTGACAGACAGTTGCTGGTTATGGCAAAACCATTCATTCCATGGAGCTCCTGTACAACATTGCTGCCTCTCTGGTTATCTACAAAATGGGATAGTGACCATGTAGCTCACAAAACTACATGGATAATAAATATGAGATCTATCCATCTCTTACCACACAGGACCTCCTGGTAACAATGAGCTCATACTTAGGATTTAAAAATTACCTGTTTTCAGGTAGGTATTCAACCACTTCTGCAAGGATGAGACAATATAATTCATGACATGAACCCCCCAAAGGTGGTAAAAGAACAGGTTAAGCAATCACAATTTTAAATGTCCCCTTCTTTCACACTCCCTGGTTAGGATACATTTCTTCAAAATAGTCAATGTGTGGAGGTTGGAGTATGTCAAGGGCAGAGAGTACCTGAGAAAAGGGAAAAAAACAAAACAAAACACAAAGTCAAATTTAGAGAATGAAAAAGAAAACAAAGTTTGACACAAATGCAAGTAAATGCTGTTAACTAATGACTTAAGGCTTAGTAGCAACTGGCCACTGAAAGGAACTATTCATTAGTAAAAAAACATATAATCCCTAAGATAGCTCCTAAGAAAGATAGAGATGATTCTAGCTAAGCTGAAATGGGTTACATCACACACTACCAAGGGCTGCTCAGAGTGGTGGGAAGGAATATCATAGCTGTTTAAGAGCATGAAGATCGTCTCTACCTTCCATTGCTCTGCTCCTCTATTCAGCAAATGCTTACTACACACATTTCACCTGTCAGGCACTATAGCAGGTTTTTAGTTTATGCATATGAACAAAATTATTAGCGACCCAGTTTTCATGACTAGAAGAGAAGGTATGCATGAAACAACGTGCACAATACAGAACCATACCCTTCATTACTATGCAGGAAACATGTAAGGAGAATGGAGCGGAAAGCCTCCCAGAAGTAACACTAATAGACTTGAAGGCTGGATAAGAGTTTGTCAGTCAATGAGCAGGCAATGTGATGGTATGGAGGCAGCTTGTGGAAACGGGAAAAGCCCTCAGTTATGAAACACAATGGTTCAGAGGAAAATACAGTGGTATAAAGTCCAAGAGGAAGGCAGATCTCCTTAAGTCACTTTAGATATGATGGACTTTATTCCAAGTACAAGAAAAGAAGCTACTGGAGTGGGGAAACAGACTTTAAGCTTGAAATTCCAGTACTTTTTATAAAGCAGTGTGTTACCAATAGAAAATAATACATAGACTTGTTTCCACTGCCATCTAGTTATGCCGTGAGTCCTGGTTGTAACATCACACCTAATTCGCAAGGAGAAATATTAGGCTCAAATACAAAGAAGAGATGATCAAGAAACAGTGTGATACAAGCACAAGCTTTCTGATCTCATCCCTACCCCTCGCCCCACACAGGGCCTCATTGTGTAGTCCTGGATGACTTGCAATTCGCTCTGCAGAGATTTGCTTGACTCTGCTTTCTGAGCGCTGGGATAAAAGGTGTATGCCAACACACCAGGTTTACCATAGTTTTTAAGAACTATCTTCTCTTGTAGAGAATTTGAAAATTACAAAGCAGGCAAAAGAATAATATCCATGTGGTCAGTACACAGCCTTAGCTACTGAGAAGTTCATTTCCATCTCATTTGGAACTCCTATGCCCCTTACATCTGAAGCATCAGCTACATCAGTTAGGTATTTCTATCAAAAAAAAAAAAAAAAAACAAAAAACCCTGCAGGATCTAACCTTTTTGATTTCTTGGTTTTTACCGTTATTTACTCATGAGCTTGCTGGGGATGGGAAACAATAACAACAACAACAACAAAATGTTTATACTTAGAATTCTCATGAGCAGAAAACATTTCCAGTTTCTTCAAAGAACTTTTATCATATAAAAATAATTACCTCACTTTTATATATTTTAAAATCTTTAATTAGCAGTGTAGCAAATCTGTATAACTTTCCTACTTATAGCATACACTCAAAAATTAACACGAATGTCTGAAGCTTGAGAAAGGTGATTAGAAATCAGCCTGTTACTGGGTATCTTTTAGACTCTCAACTCTGTACCTGAGCAAGATGCAGTCTGTCTTGGGGGAAAACAAACTCAAAGAGTGACAGTGTCTATTAGGCAAAGCTATTTTACACTTCAAATCTATCTGTGCTAATTAGCGGTTATCTAGTGGGAAGTGACAACCCTATTTTAAGAAGAATAAGGCTTTCTTATTCCAAATTCGATGAGGTTCCCTGTAGAAAAGCCACAACACTGTCAGACATTTGCCCTATCCCATTTGGCTGCTGACTGCTTTAAGCTCAGTCTGGACGTCTTTATGCCTGTTGTTTTGTTTAATCTAAGTGTTTAATAGAGGTGCATAGCAGTGTTTCTAGCAAACAAAAGCAGTGCTCAGACCAGCAAAAAGGGTCTAGGATTTCAAAAGCAATGTGACAAGTGAGATGGGACTCTGGAGAGCTCAAACAGAATTTCATGAGCAACTCTCCCATTTAAACAGCCAGGAATTTCTCAACTCAGCCATCATTCAGGGAAGTCAAAGAAAAATTTGCCTTTGATGTAAACAGAAAGGTACCTTTAAAGATACCTTGGAAGAAATCCAAGTATCCCTAATACCACCTAAAAAAAAAAAAAAAAAAAAAAAAAAAAAAACAAACCACAAAGTAGCCAGGTGTACTGACACTTGGGCAGAAACAGGCCCAGACTAATTTACCTGTTTCATAGTGAGACCCTGTATGAAACACAACAAAACAAAAATAAAAACCCCAAACCATAAGAAACCCTACCAGACTTAGCTACTTTTAAAAAGTGATGGTCATGACCAGATGTGCATATCTGACTTTTAAGATTTTAATCCTTTCAGTTAGAAGATTCAGGACAAAGTGTTTACATGGTGACCATGTAGCTCAGTTTCGGTTGTCTTTTTATCAGTAAAACCATTATAATGAATAAACTTAATTCTGTCTAAGGAAATCTGACCATTTAGCTCAGTGAAAGTGCACTTGACCAGCATACATGAACTCCTCCTAGGTGGTGGGAGAGGTGACAGAAATCTAAGTGTTCACTCACACTGCCAAGGATGCAAAGGCAAGAGTAAAACACAAACACACCAATTGGAGTTTCATGTCTGGCCATTCTCTTAAGGTAGAGAGACTACATTATTGCTACAGTATACAAATTCTAAGAGCATAATTTGACAAATTTTATGCATACACAGCCATGTAAAAGTTACCCAGATCAACAAATTAAGCATTTCAACATCTTAGAAAGTGCCTTCCCTCCCTTTGAATAACAACCCTCACTCTGTCACCATAATTCTTAAACCTTACACAAATGGAATCAAAACGACATACACTCTTTTGTGCACAGCTTTTAAGAAGTTCTTTTCAAAAAAAAAAAAAATCACACTTTCAAGCTGGGCGTGGTGGCATACTCCGGAAGTAGAGGAATTAGATAGAAACAGATAGATCTGAATTAAGCTACAAAGTAAGTTCCAGGACAGCCAGGGCTACAAAGAGAGAGGCAGTCTCATAAACAAAAACAACACCCCCTCAAAAATTAAACTTTCATTTATTTATTTTTTGTGCATGTGGAGGGGGTAAATGTGTGTCATGGCATGTGTGGGAATCAATCTTCTCCTTCTACCATGTGGGTCCTAGGGGGTGAACTCAGGTTGTTAAGTTTGACAGCAGGTATCTCTACCGGCTGAGACATATTGTTTGCTGGTCTCCACACAGTTTCTTTTATACACATATGCCTGTAAGACTTATCCAAGTTGCTAAGTGGATTAGCAGTTCATTCATGTTTGGAGCCAAACAGATTTTTAACTCTGATCGTGACTGTGGGAGATGTGTCCCTACGTCTTTGGTTTCTTTGTAAAGTAGGATTAACAAGTTCTACTTCACAAGATTTCTATGAAGTAAATGAATCAGTATACATGAGCATCTAGCACACACATTAACAGTATACATTAAACAGCTAGTTTTTTCCTCTTTAAAATGACAGTGTTTTAAAACTGTTTTGTTTGTTTGAGACAAGGCCTCACTGCATAGCCTTGGCGGGTCTGGAACTCTGTACTAGATGAAGCTGGTCTTGAACTCAACAGAGATCAAAGGCATGTGCTACCTTGCCCAGTCTTTTGCATCTTTGATACTGTTATGCACTTCCCCCACAGGACCAATTGTGGCTTAGCTCCATCAAATACTGGCTGCCTCTTAAGATTGGCATTCACATATACCAAGCATGTTGGTCCTGAGATGCCTTTGGAGACAGATCAGAAGCAAAGGAGAAACTGATTATGTATAAAACAGTGTTGTCACACTATCTTCAGAACGTCCTATTAGTGCCTCACATCAAATAGTCCTAAGGATGTCACAGACACTTTTCTGATAGAGCTGGAGAGCTCTAAGAAGTATTTGTGTATATTTGTCCATATCATGAAAAAATTTAGTTTCTACAACACTCAAAGACAGTCATTTCTACTTCTATCATGCTCGTTTTACAAATAAGAGAGTTCAACCTTGAATAAACTAAAGACATAGTATTAGAAAACATCAGAACTGCAGTTCAAACCCAGCTCTGATGTCAAGCTGCCTCTTACAAAACCCATTAGAACTGTCTGTGTGTTTGAACAGGGGTGATCTTCAGAATTCTGTTTCCTTTCTTGCACTAATTACTCTGGCATTGCCTTAGGAACTTAATTACTTTATGGGAATGGGTTATGAGCAAAGCTAAACAGCAGCTTGTGATACCACCACCTTTTTAAGAGCAGTCAGCTCTTGAGGAAGTGAACTTCTGAAGTCTCCTCTGAGAAAAATGTTTCCTTATCAGATACTCTTACTGCAAAGGGGCATTGTACAGCAAGCAGTCTGTGCTCTGATGCTGGGTGATACTAGGGTAAACTCAAGAAACAAGGAACTAAGCAAGCATTAGACATCATTCTAACTTACACTTCCAAAATCTAGGAACCCTAATTGATAAAGTCTTAAACCAGCATCTTGAATGGTATTTTGAAACTAACTTAAACATACACCTCTGCTAGGCAGCTTGAGTGGACTAAAGGAAGCACTTACACAGTGCTGGGAATTGGATCCAAGGCCTTGTTCATATAGAGCAAGTGCTCTACCATGAGCCCATCTAGCCCAGCAATACTTTTTTGGAAAAATTTAAGAAAATGGGATTTTTTTGCCGAGTGGTGGCTCATGCCTATAATCCCAGTACTTGGCAGGTAGAGGCAGGCGGATCTCTGTGAGTACAAGACCAGCCTGGTCTATAGAGTGAGTTTCAGGACAGCCAGAACTACAGAGAAACCTTGTTTCAGGAAACAAACAAGCAAACTAAAAGAAAACAAAACAAAACTGATTTTAGCTAAATATGGTGGCTCACAGCTATAATTCTAACCATTAGAGGATGAGACAGAAGGACTGTCATGAGTTTGAGACCAGCCTATTTGATAGAGTAAGTCTTGGTCTTGAAAGAAAGGAAGACAGAGAAAGAGGGATTTCATGAAGAGTCATCAATAAACCAAGATATGTCAAGCCAAACAATGAATCTGATAGTCTTAGTTTAACCAAATAAACTTCAGCACATTTCTTTCTTAAAGAGTGAGACTGGAACTTTGGCCAAAGTTACTAAGTCTTCTTCTGTGCAATCAAGCATACAGACTCACAAGAAATCTTTTTTGATAGGTTTTTATTACAACAATCAAAATAGTTAAATACTATGTGAAGAATGAGGCAGCTCTTTTCACATGAAAACAAACAATTCAATGCTAACAAACTCCAATTAAACTTTACATGATTCTGATGTCTAACTCAGGGTTAGTTGAGGAGATGTGGTCTCTCAAAGTTCGATGAGTCTCTTTGCCTGTGAGTCTTCGAATCTCTAAACAGCCGGAAGCAAACTAACTATCTTACCTTCAGGGCTATCCTGTCTGTCTTTAGAGCAGAAATTGTTTTTCCTACATCCTAACCTAAACATTAAAAGATAAAAACAAAACATTTAAAATCAAGGGCCAATTATTCCTGAACTTAAATTACTCATATAAATTCATGCTTTATTTTTGTGTTGAATATTGGAATTATTCCTCAACTAAATACTGAATTTGTTTTGCTTCACTTAGTATTAATGTGTCAGTTTATAAATCTAGAACCCACTTAAATTTGTTCATGGTTTAATCACAGTAAAGATCTAATTTGTTTCAATCTTGGCTATAGTTTCTATTTTCTCCACAAATACGTTCTTTTGTGGTGGTGGTGGTGTCTTTAAACTTACTTAGCAGCTTAAATTCATTAAATAAAAGACAACCCAGCTGGGCACTGGCGGCACATGCCATTAATCCCAGTGCTGGGAGGAAGAAGCAGGCGGATCTCTGAGTTTGAGGCCAGCCTGGTCTACAGAGAGAGTTCCAGGACAGGCTCCAAAACAATACAGAGAAACCCTGTCTTGAAAAAAACAAAACAAACAAACAAAAAGACAACCCAAGCCAGGTGTGGTGGTGTACGCCTTTAATCCCAGCATTTGGGAGGCAGAGGCAGGTGGATCTCTATGAGCTTGAGGTCAGACTGGCCTACAGAGTGAGTTCCAGAACAGCCAGGGCTACATAGATCCTGTCCCAAAAAACAAAAACAATAACAAATAAGAGTATATACTAATTCCAAGATAGACTGGAAGTTAATGTGTGTGGTGTTTTCTAATTTGGGGTCAGGCCTGTGTAAATCATAACTGTGGAATATAATTTTCAAACCTCCAACTCAAATTTTGCAAAAATGAACTCCTAAGCGATTCTAAAACACTGTGAGGCTGTAAACCACTGATCTCAATGGTAAAAATATAAGATTCCTAAGAAGCATAAAGGAAATCTATAAAAAGAATGCAAAGCAATGAAAACGTAACTCAGGATCTGTTTGTTGTGACCCTTTCAGCAAGATGTTGTGGAAAGAAGCCTGCCAACAGGTATTTGAGGGTACCACCCTGTACTTTTTTCTCTACGGAGTTCAACATAAAACTACAGCTGAATTCTATACCCTCTAAACTCAATATTGTTCTCAACTGAGTCAGCGAAGCAGGTCTGGTAAATAGTTTCCCCCAAACACCAATTTCACTTACATTATCATGTTTAAAAAAACACAACATCTTCAATTCCCGGAAGACTCTTTTGCAAGAGACCAGATTCTGGAAGACGTTGGGCATCTTTTTGAGTGCTACTCTCTTTCCATCTCTTGGATCTGTTACTGACCTAAAGAAGCAATATTTGGGGGGAAAAGGGAGGGAAAAAGAGAAATCAATTCTAAACCTCATTCTCCAATGTTTCAAAGATCATGACAAATATTTTGTATCTTAAAACACTCGTTATCAAGTCCATATAGTAATGCTAAAAGGCTTCAGTGCAAAAGATGACAAAAGAATACACACAAAGATAATGTATAACCACCTAACTCAGCTGTTGTGGTTTTAAAGAAACCTTATCTAAAGCCAAATGTGATACTGGTTTGTAATTCCAGAATTTAAGATATGGCTGAGGCAGGAGGATGGTGAATTTGAAGAAGACCCTGTCTCAAAGAGCTCATATATCCTCTCTCCCTCCCCCAACTCCCCCCTTTTCTACATCTCTGTGAATACTCTGAAAGATCACTTAATACTTCTGAGGTAGGAATATTAGTGGTAAAGCTGTTTTGAAGACTGGGGGAAGCAACAGCCTAGGACAACATGATAAAAAACTTATATTTTATTTTCAGAACCATTTTCAAGATTAAAGAGATATACAAATATAATTTCTATAATTTGGTTTCTCATATAGATGCACATCTGTAATTACTGCAGTGATGTTCCCTCCTCAGAAGTCTGAGAGGTAGCTTGGCTATTTGGTAACTGATGTCCCCCAGCCCACGTGGGTTAGGACCCCGCTGATCACTTTCAGTTCTTGCTCTCATCACCCTGTCATTTAGGCACCTCTCCTAGGTTTGGGCCATTTAAAACTCCATGTGCCATCAAGAGCCTTTATCCAGATTACTAAAAGCAGGATTTCGAGTTGCTCTCAGCAGCTAATACAGCACCAGAAATTATTTATGGGACTGACAGCCAATCATAATCTTAGGTACAGTTATCTGACTAATTACTCATTCAATTAACTACGATCACTCAATTTCCTTATTCTGTTTGCACAAAAATCAGATGCCCATCAAATTCTGCCTTCCTGAAAATGAAGGATACCCATTATCTACCTGTCTAAGACTCACACTAAACTTCATCTTTATTTTTTGTTTTGTTTTGTTTTGTTTTTCCAAGACAGGGTTTCTCTGTATTGCTTTGGAGGCTGTCCTGGAACTCGCTCTACATGTAGACCAGGCTGGCTTCGAACTCACAGAGAGAGATCCACCTGCCTCTGCCTCCCAAATGCTGGAATTAAAGGCATGTACCACCAACGCCCAGCAACTTCATCTTGGTGGCTCTACTAAGTGTTCATGAGACTTAAGGGATGCATGCTCATATTTGTAAACAAGAAAACTGCTCTTGGTCCCACCTACTGAAATTTTGGTAAAACAAGCATTATCACATTTTAGTTTACTTAAGGCCAGGCTAGCAGTGATCCTCCCATCTCAGCTCCCTGAGTACAAGGACGACTGGTGTGAAGCACACAAAAGCTGTTTTCTTGTTTTTGTCTTTCAGTCCTGGAGGTCAAATCCAGGGCTCCGTGCATGCCAGGCAGTAGCTACATCTCCCACTAAGCTACATCTCCAGCCTGAGTTTCCAACAGATTGAAATGTAGCTAAATTAATCCAATGATTGATATTATAGATTGTTGCACAGGAAATAAAAAGCAAAATCTATACCACCACTTAAAATCCATATGAAGTCAGAGAGTAAAATAGGAGAAACCAAATGTAAGTTATAGTCAGACTATTAACTGAAAGCTATTTTCCCCTTTTCAATATAGTACTTCTATATCAAGTACAAGATTAAAATGGCAATAAAATTAAAAAGAAGGAAATTTTTGTATTAAGTTTGTATTTGAGTCTGTTCTAGCTCCTATAAGTAGAACAGTTACCTATGCCTTTGTACTGCTACCATTTTTTTTTGAAGAATACAGGTCAGTCACTTCATAGATTGCCCCTCAATTTGTTTTTCTCTGGTGTTTTCCCACTAGAGACAGATTATACAGTGTTGAAGCACCTTCAGAGGGCATCATAGCAGGCATGTGGTGTCACTACAGGAAATAACACTAGTCACAGCAATGAGGCATCTCTCAGGTACATCTACTCCTTGTCAGAGTTGTCAACATGCAATGACAATTTTTACCTAAATCAATTGTTATTATGATGGTTGCCAACTAGCACTTCTGATTACTTTAGTGTCTTCCTTTAGCAACTCAGTCGAATAAATACTAGTTTAAAAATGGATATCAAAGGATTTGTATTGCTTGTCTTCCTAGCCCGACTTATTCTACCAGTCACCCTGTTGTGGAAAGTATCGTTAGTCTCAGGTGAACCCACACTGTAAACACTTCCACAGGCTCAAAGCTACTATTGTGCCTCCTGTAACAGTTTTGAGGTAAAAGTCACAAAGCAGCATTTACTCTTATTCATGAAGAAGTCAGTTGAGCCTGTGGCTGGTAACAATATAACTCTGGAGAGGCAGCGCAGGAATTCACGCCATATTGAGTTTGTTCACTTAACTTGAGGTAGCAGATGTTCACTTCAGTAGAAACAATACAACAGAGCAGAGGTGAACATGGAAGAATAATATAGAAATTCCTTATCTGCTCTATTTATTATTCAAAGCCTTGTTGTGTTGAATTTTTCTTCATGGCAATGTCCTGGCCATTCCTGCTGAACCTGTTAATGAGGCTCCACCGATACAAAGATAACACTTAGGGCACCATTCTTTATTTTGGGAAAAAGGAGCCATTTTTAGACTTATAATTCACTGAACGGTCATTCATTTTCCCTGCTAAATACTAGATGCCCAAAATAGCACACAACCATATTCACATGGTTGACCTTTTTTTTTTTTTTTAAGATTTTATTTATTTATTGTGTATACAACACTCTGCTTCCATGTATATATCTGCAGACCAGAAGAGGGCACCAGATCTCATAACAGATAGTTATGAGCCACCATGTGGTTGCTGGGAATTGAACTCAGGACCTCTGGAAGAGCAGTCAGTGCTCTTAACCTCTGAGCCATCTCTCCAGCCCCTACATGGTTGACCTCTTAAAAGCATTTCAATTATGTTAGCATGTAGAACTTCCTAAGTTTTAATTTAGTATTTGACTCATTTATTCATTCATTTCTTCTTCCCCTCTCTCCTTCCTTTGATGGTCTCGAATATCCCAGGTTAGCCTTGAACTTGCTAAGTAGTTGAGGATGACCTAGAATTTCTGATCTTCTTCCCTCTCTACCTTCTGAGGCCATCATGCCTGGTTTATGTTGTGCTGAGGAATTGAACTCATGGCCTTATGCAAGCTAGGTAAGTATTCTATCTACAGTGCTACATCACAAACCCAGTACCTGATTTTTCAAGCACAAAAGGTTGTGAGAAAGAATCATCTTTGCATCTGCTCAAACTCTATCAATCCTTTTTTGGTCTTAGGACACAAGTCCAACTATTTTTAAGTTGGAAGAATCAACAAGCCATTCTTTGGAGACACAGTTTGTCAAAAGAGTAGAACCACAGCACAGGAAGCTCTTTAGATCGGCTGTGGTCACTTTGAAATAAAGCTTTCTTCATCCAGGGAACCTGGACATTGCAACATTATCTGCTTCAATCGTGGACAAATGCAAAGGCTAGAAGGAACCAAGATGAAACTTAACCCTGGAGATACTTTCCTGGGCATCAAAATGCCACTTAAGACATTGCTAAACCAGAAAAACATTTAAAAAACTGTTGCTTAAATATCACTGAGCTTGTTGGCAAGAATCTCCAAGAAACTGTTATGTTCCTCATTCATTTTTATGTGAAGAACCTTTTTTTTTTTTTTTTTTTTTTTTAAAATACGGTACTCAAAGTTTATCTTTCTGATACAGGTTTCTAGCCACTCAAATCAAATAATTTATAGTGAAAATGCTTTAATTTGGATTATCAAAATCAAGTCCTTCTAATTCTACACATGCTACATTGTTATTGCCAATTGGCCGGGTTTTTGTCACCTACACAATTAGTCTTTCAACTGCACCAATGCAGTTTACATGCCGGCAACAGTATCTCTTTACTAAACATTTAGATTACGGTTTTCATATTAATTTTGAAAATTAATTTATTTAGAGGCTAATTTCACATACAGTTAGATTAAGTCAACTTGAAAAAATAGCAAACTATGAGGCAAAATTTCTGACAAGACTAGAAAATGTATGTTTCACTTTAGTACTTGTTATACATTCAAGGACACAAGAAACATGGAGTAAAGAATTTATTTCCATGTCTCACTGTTCTTCCTCATTAGAATTTCAACAGTTAGTCTGTGTGCTCTGTGATGATGTAGAGCTATGTGCTTGCTAGTTGAGGAACACACCTTGTCAGCTTCTTACCCTCTCCCTCTCAATGACAAAACGGCTTCACATCTCCTTTACTTAGATCATTTGTTCCAATCAGGTTTTTGTTATTGCTGTTTTTTAATTTTTAATATCTAAATTTGGAACCCAAGTTAGCTATATGCATAAGAAAACAATGCTATTGCGAGGGAAAAGGCCTTCTAGAATAGTTAAACTAAGATAGTGAAAATGTTCATTCTTTCCCACCACTCAGGATCTTCCAGATATTACTGATTAGAAGCAGCAAACATCTACCTTATGAAAGAGTTCAGTGTGAACTTAAATGTCCTCTAACTCTGTGTTTGAGTAAATGGCACTGGTCAACCGCCCCCCAACACCCAAGATAAGGAACAGGCAGGCCATCCTATCAGATAATTATAATTATAGTTAAATACTTTTACTAGAAAGACCTTAGTTTAAAAAAAAACCCAAGAAACAAACAAACAAACAAACAAACAAAATCACAACATATGGAAGTCAGAGGAAAACTGCAGGAGTTAGTTCTTTCCTTCCACCATATGGGTCTAGGTATCTAACTCAGGTCTCCAGCTGGGTGGTATTGGAGCATTGCCTTTAAACCGGGCACTGGAAAGGCAGAAGCAGGTGGATTTTTATGAGTTCAAGGCCAGCCTGATCTACAGAGTGAGTTCCAAGACAGACAGAGCTACACAGAGAAACTCTGCTCCAAAACAAACAAACAAACAAACA